TGCCTTGGTGGGCTGGGCATGGAGATGGGCAAGCAAGGAGTTCAGTATCCACTCACTAACCCTTCTCCTTACCTCCTGCAGCTCCCAGGGCCAGGGGGCTCACACCGCACTGAGAAAGGCGATCCAGCAAACGAAGGGATGGTGAGTAGATGGAGGGAGCTATGAGGTGCTTTCAACCACCTCCAAAGTCCCGGGGGGGGCAGGGGAAGTGCCCTGTGCCTGTCGACTCTCCCCTCTGCAGGCAGGGGATAATGCCGAGGGCGAGCAGAATTATCACTCCGAGCTCCACGTGGCAGCATCGCCTCAGGGTGGCCCCCCAGAAGTGCCCAAGAAGACAGAGAAAGTCTTGCACATGAGCAAAGTCCTGAACCCCAGTGCCCTGGCCCCAGGTAAATAAATCCTTCCTGCACCCCAAACCCAACACCACTGTGATCTCAGCAGTGTGGGGCTGGAGGCAGCGAGCTGCTGCCTGCCGAGGGTTCTGCCCCAAACCCTCCCCCAGAGTTTGTATATATACAAATATATAAATATATATTTATGTTATAGATATGCAGTCCTGGCCTCAGCAGCAGGTCCTCTATGGCCATGCAAATGCCAGGCTGTTCCCAGCCCCAGCAGCCCATGCTGTCTCTCCCCCTGCACAGGGTACTCGAGTCCCCTCAAAGAAATCCCCCCGGAGAAGTTCAACGTCACCGCCATCCCCAAGGGCTACCGGTGCCCGTGGCAGGAGCTCTTTGGTGACAGGGATGATGCTGTGCATGGCAAGAACCAACCACCCATGAGACCCCCTGCGTGGGACTTCAGGAGCTTCAACAGGTAACAGGCAGGCACCACCAACCTGGCCAGCCCTCCAAGCCCTTCAGCCTCGAGAAACATCCAATATCCTGTGAGGGAAACACAGTGGGCCGTGCTCTCTCTATACACCACAGGGGCCCAACAAGGGCTCAGGATGCTTTTTTCCTGCTCAGGAGCTCCTCTGTGACTCCCTGCAAAGGTCCCTGCCTCCAGCAGCTCCCCAGATCTCCTCTCAGCTCCACCACTGGGTTTGCACAGCCTTAAGCAGTTTGATCTCACTGGCTAACCTCAGGGATGAAATTTGTGAGGACTAATTCTCATGTACATGGTCCTGGAGAAGGAATCACTCCTGCTCCCAGCTGGGCTCAGCTCTGGGCTGGGTGGAGGAATGACACAGACAGTGCCAAGTCTCTCTCCTAATTTCCTTAAGGTATCCAAGCAGCTGCTGGAAGTGGTGGGGGTATAAGGTTAATCATCCCACAAAGTGCTAAAAGAAGTCACCAGATTCCTTCCAAACACCTGCTTGGGATTGAAGCCTCCAGGCCAGGGGATTTCTAGAGGCTCAGCCTGGCAAGCTCCGTGCCCTGTGGCTGCTTCTGATGGAGCACAGCTGGTGCCTCCTCACACCTCCAAAATACATTGGGGTCGAGGCTGGAGCAGAGACTGCCAAGGAAGGTTTCCTTCCGGAAAGGGGCTCAGTGGGGACCCAGGAGATGGAGATCTGGTGGTAGCAAACACCAGCAGCCCATGGTAGAATAACGAGAACTGAACTTCTAAGCTGAACATTGTCCCAGGGAATCTGCAAACCAAGGTCCTGGCTGTCCTCCTTGCTGAAAGCCTCTGTCACAAGGATGGAATTACTTGGGCCTTGGTGGCCTGCCCAAAGTTGCCTTACAGCAGTCAAGTTCCCACTGAAGCTCCCCAGTAGGACACAGCACTGCTCCCTGTCAGACCATGGGCACAGTGCTGGGCCTGTGCTGGGGGCAGCTCTGCTGTGCCCACACCAGGGCTGGATTTGGGTCATGGGACGCACGACTGCTGTACTTTGAGCACCTGGCAGAAGGGGCTGTGGGGAGCCACAACCCCTCCACATGGGAATGGCATCCCAAAAGCCAGAGATCAGCCTGGCCACCACCATCCCTTTGCTGCTCTCCTCCCCCTCAGCCCTGGGGCTTTGCCATGTGGCTCTCCTTGAGGAGTTACAGCCGAGGAGGTGCTGCAGGGGGAGAACGAAAAGCTGCTGCAGACACTTGGCTCTTCTATTTCAACATTTAGCCATGTTCCTGCCTTGGGATTTATTTATGGACAGGGACTGAAGCAAGGGCATGTTTCTGAATAGTGCTTTACCCTGCACCATTTCTCCTCTCTCACACGCTGCCTTTCTATTTAAAGTCTTCAACTGTAATTTAATACAGATGGATGCTAATTTAACTCCAAGCCTCTCGCCACCTCCTCTAATTCTTCACTGAGGCAGGAAGATTCAGAGAGCCAATCTGCTTTTAACTGGGCTTTTCATGATCTTCCAAGCTGTTGGCTTTTAAATCACTTCTCAGTTCAAATACCAAACCACAGAAAAACAAGCCTTTTGGAAGAGATTGGCTATCGAAAAGCCAGTGGTCTTGCCTAAGGCTGGTTGAATCCCAGCTCACTTGGGTCACAGGGCAAGGGCAAGTCCACCATTTTAACAGCAACTGTGTTAAAGACTGATTTATTCCCAATTTTAAACATTCAGGCTGTGATGCAAAGACCTAGGGCCACCTTGCTGCCTTAAGAGAGAGTGAAAACCAACCTTTGACAAAGACTATCTTTTCCCAGAAGAGAGAAAGTTCCTAGAACAAATCTCTCTACCTTTCCCCCTCTTATTTCTCCTCTGTTGCAAAACACTGCCACGTTACTCATGTTCTAGCAGTGCTTCCCAAAGCAAACATTCCCAGCTTTGCCTCACTGATAGCTCAGCCTCCGTGCGCTGCTCCAAAACCAACATTCTTGGCTTTTTGGGGGCTGGCACACTCTTCCCCAGTCCCTTTCCACATTTCTCCAGAAAGGGATGACAGCTCTTGCCCCCGCACTGCTCCTCCTGTTAGTCATAGTTCATGAGAAGCCGTCCCAAAAGGCAGGATGGAGCCAGGGCCAAGAGAGACACATTTGCCTGCACATGTGCTGTAGGGATCTGGAGCAGCCATCGGCCTCGGCCCTCTGCAGAACACATTGAGATGCTTTCATACAACCAGGGGGTTTGTCACTGCTCTCTGAACCTAAGCCCTTCCACGTGCAGAACACTTCCACTGACACTCAGGCACCGAGCCTCGTTCTCTAGTCTTGCCAAAGCTTGAGTTGAGGTGGGCTCTGCACCAGAGAAGCACCTTGCTGGGCTGGCAGGGGCTCTAACAGTGTCCTGGGGAGGAGGAGGAGGAGGAGAGTTGTCATTTGCCACAGACATTGCTAGGCTGTGCTGGGCTCAGAGTTAGTAAATCCAGACCTACTTTTTCTATCAGCTTCACAGCATGCCCTAGTGACTAAGTCTGCTTCTTGTGCCACAGGACCCCAGCCCCGTTTGACAGGGCGATGGTTGGGGAGCTGTTCTCTCTGCCCACCGCAGAGCTGGACAACCTGAGTGCGCTGGAGGTGATTTCCCACAGGCCCAACTTCAACCGCGTGGCGCAAGGCTGGGTGCGGATCCTGCCGGAGAGCGAAGAGCTGTAGCTGTTCCTTCCCCACCACCACGGATGGTTTCCTCGCTAGACTCGGACACACTTCGCAGGGTGGGGGAGAGGGGGCAGGTATCCCTCGTGGAAGCTCAGCCAGTGCTCTCGGGTTGTCATCTTCAGATGGGGTTTGACCGAGCTCGAGTCTGGGACCATTCTGAATTCCCCTTGCAGCAGCCCTGGTCACAAGGGCAGTGAGTGCCAAGCCAGCCAGCCAAGTTCTCGCTCTTAATCCAGCAGATCCCCACAAGCTCCCATACAAAACACCCCATACAGCCTGTCCTCTGCCCTGCCTTGTGGAAAACAGCAGCACCACCAGCTGCAACACACCAAACTCCCTCCCTGCGTATTCACCGACACAAGAGACCTGCTTTGACAGCTGGTGCTTTCGCAGAGAAATTCCATCTTCAGGACAACTCTGCATCTGTCATTCCAGTCAGGACGGCGAGAGGAGGTGATAATGGAAGAGCAGCAGCAAAACAAGTTACTGGAGGCATTGGCATGTTAAAAGCAGCTACTTCAGGCTTGGCTGGACAACAAAACAAATGAGGAACTGGGAATCTGCCTGTTTACCAACACAGCACAACCGGGATAGATGGGAGAAGAACAGTGGGAGTTGGAAAATTGTGCTGTATTTTCAACTGGCTAGCACTTGGCAGCTGGTATTTTCCCCTTTCTACTGCTATTTGCATGCCTTGCTTGAACATCTAAGCCCTGAGTGACTTACGCCAGATTTGCTTCATGTAGTTGGTCAACAAGGATCAGATCCTGCCTGGACCCACACCAGTCTGAGGATCCTTCCAGGTGTTCCACAGGGAAGGAAAAGCAGCATGATCATGACTCTAGAGAGAGCACAGGCTTCTCTGGGAATGTGAAAATCAGCAGTGAGGATCCAACTACACCACTGTTTTCAGCAGTGACACACAGTGGGACCTGCAGCTAACAACAGCCTGTTGATCTGGGTATCTGTGATGCTCAACTGCTGCCCTGTTCCAGTTCCATCTCTCTCCTCTTTGTCCATCAGCTGCAGAAGCCATGTAACCCCAGGGAACTGGAAATAATAAATAAATAGTGATGATGTAAAGCCTCTTGCATTTGAGATGTGTCTGCACAGCACTCACAGGCCCTGGCTATGGAGGCTTGGGGCCAGAGCAGTGGCAAAAGCCACAGCCCTTTCCCATCCACCAGCAGCCTCTGCTGTCCAACACTGCCCTGGAATGGCTCTTCCCTGACAAAAGCTGAACTAATTACCCATGCCCAAAGCCCAGCTTCCTCCAGAGAAAGCCAGTCCATGGTGCACAAGTGCTACACCCCCTCCAACAGCCTGGCAGGACTGGGACCATCATGGGACCCAGTGGCACCTTAAAGGACAGCACATGAAACCAAAAGCAGACATGCTGTCCTTGCCCACACTGCATCTTGGCTGTGGGAGCAGCCACATAAAAATCAGACAAAGTCCCCAGACACTGCACTCCAGGAAGCAGGGTCTAAGCACAGTGGTGAAAAATTCAAATATTTTAATGTGCTTTTTCTGAAACAAGCAAATGAGGCTACAGAACAAGCCCCATCACGTTTTGCTTTACAGAAAGATGTCCACAGATCCACTGCACAAAAGCAGCTGACATGCAGATTAATCTAAAATCCTCCAGCCACATGTACACAGACCTTACTCAGCAGCAGGCTCCATGCAGGATGCAGTCACTCCTGGCCAAGCACTACAGTGGGAGCACAGAAGGAAAAGTTTCACGTCTTATCAAAGCAGGATGAAGTGGGACCCTTCTCACAGCTTAAGACGCTGCACCAAGGGCCTCGAAAGCCCTAAATCTCCCCCAGAGCAGCTGCATCTGCACAGTGCCCTCCCCTGCAGCTGTCAGCAACCACAGCCCAGCCCGTGGGGCCACTGAGGGGGCCATCACCTGGCTAAACTGGGCAACTGCTGACCTGTCACTCCACGTCATGCCTGCACTGCCCGGGGGCTGCTCGGCTGACCCAGCGCTTGTCTCACTTGTCTCGCTCAGGACGTGCAGGATTAGAAGTGAGGCATCAAAAAAGGTTTTGTTTTCTTGTCTTTTTTTCAAAGCCACAAGTCAGGAAAAAGGAGGGAGGAAAAATCTGTGGAAGGCAAAGCCATGGGTTTGCCTGTGGCAACATCATCTGATGAGCTTGTTTTTCAGCTCTTATTCAGTCCTGGTTTAACACCTCATTAGATTAGCACATCATTAGTTACCTGACAGAGAAGAGTCTCTGGTTACATTTAAACAGTCCATAATGTTCAGACTGAGGACATCAAACGGCCTTGAAAAGGCTTTGGTTTTGTTTTTCCAGAAGTTTATTTCAAAAGTGTGCCAATGGGATACACAGACAGCACTGTAATTCTGGTACCCCAGACCCACAGACAGCCCCCCTGTCTGTCCCCCACCCCCCCAACACTTAAAGAAAGACCTGGGACATACCAACAATCCGATTAGCTAGTGGAGACACGGAGCTCAGCTTGCCCTGTGGCTGCAAGCAGGGGAATAAGGCGTCTCTAGCTCACCCACAGCTCAACATATGGTGCTACCATGGTAACTAGAAAATAACATTTACTTCAAGGATGAGGGTGGCAGGACGTGCTAGGGGCTGCTGTGCTTTCCCGCGTGGGCACCCATCCTCTGGGGGTCCTGGGACGGGTAGTGGATGGGGCCTGGGGCTCTCATGAAGGGAGGTGGGGGCCCCATGGCGTGGAACATGTGTGGTCCAAAACCTGCAGGAATAAAATTGGCAGCTTCAGGCAAAGCAGCAGAAAACCCGACGCGTATGTTCCACTGCTTCAAAGCGCCGACAGAACAGCTGGCTCACAGCTGTGCCTCACAAATGTGCTCGTCTCCCATCTCCCCAAAAACTCCTTCCCTCTTTTCAGTAAAACTGGGGGCAATCCCTACCCAACACACATCCTTACTCACAGATAAAAGCTGGTGGGGCAACTGGGCAGATGTCTGTAACGCCCATCTAAATGTTTTCTATTCAACCATGCAGCAGAGAAAATATACTCACAAGAGTCCAACATTCCATTAAAAAAAAAAAAAAAAAGGAACTCTGGATAGATATATACAGAGAGCCAAAAACAGGCTGGCATTCAACCAGCTGCAAAATTACCCTTTGAAGTTGGGGTTAATGTGGCATTTACATAGCCAGCAAAAGCACTGAGTAGGTCTCAGTACCAGTACCAGTAACGGGGATCTCCATGCCTGGGAATTTGCAAGTGAATACCTACCACAACAGGCAGCTCAGTTTAATTAAACTGTGCTGACAGCTCAGTTTAGATCATCAGTTGACACTGTGTGATCAGGGATGAGGAAAATCAGCTCAGGGCATGCATCAGTTGCAGCATGGCCAGGCAAGGAGGAACAGACTGTTTAACACGGAGTTCCACACCCCCACTAGAGGGGGAAACACAAGTACCTGGAGGCGGCGGTGGAGCGATGCCAGGGGGAGGTGGCAGGGCAATGTTCACCACGGCTGAGGGGCCACTTGGAGGTAGGTTGAAGTAATTTGCAGAAGCCTCCTCTTCTGCAGCTGGAGGAGGGGGGAGAGCTGCAGAAAAAGTACATAGTGGTTACGGAGATGCAAGACAAGCAGAGGTGTCTCCTTCAGAGAGAGGGCACAATCCGTGCTTTCACAAGGGCAAACTGCTGCTACCATCGCACCTTTGAACCGTGAGGGCGAGACTGTCCTGAAATTCCAGTCACCGGTTTTCTTCACCCAAAACCAGCCTTGCTTTTTCCATCATACAATGCTCAGTGAATTAGGAAAACATTAAAAGCATGGGCTGCCAGCATCTCAGACCTAAGTACCTTGAATTCAGCTTTAACTTTTCACTCATCACATAAAGAACTCTCTTTTCATCCAGGATTTGCTTCTAAACAAAGCTCATCTCCCATCCCAGCTGGATGCAAAGTAGCTGCAAAGCTACTGTAACTGCTGTGGGCTCACCACTGCCTCTACCATCCTGAACTGTCACTGCTCCCAGAAATTTAACACCAGCCTCACTCATGGAAGCAGGTCAGCATTAAGTGTTTCAGAGATGAAAACAATTCCCTTACCACCAGGAAGTCCCGGAACTGGCTCCAGCTTTATCCCGGATTCTGTAGTACCCTCCTTGTCCTTTTCTTTTCCTCTTGCTGCCTGGGACCTGGGAAATAGACAAAAGTTTGAGAACAAGGATGAGAAAAAGCGGGATAAGGAAATATTTGTAACACAGTAGTTTCACCTTATCTAATCCAGACCCATTGTTTCAGGCCAAAGATGAAAAACTCGCAACATCAGAGACAGGTGGTACAAAGTGTGCAAACAGTGCTTACAGGAGATGGACTAGGAGCAAAACTACAGAAACCCATCCATAACCCTCAGCCAGGAAATCTCTTACACTATTTGTGTCATTTCCAACACAGATCCCGCCCCAGAAACAGAGCCAAGTTGTAAGAGGACCCCAACTATTTACCAATCAAATATCTGCTCCAGCATAATATCCAATCCTGCTTATCAAGACTACATAAATTGGGAGCAGAACCTTGTGGCAGTATCCTCCTGGCTTCCTCCCCCCACACTCACCTTCCCCACTTGACATTGAGCCTGCGGCCGTTGACAATGAGCTTGTTGAAGGATTTCTCAGCAGCCACCTCTGCAGCCTGGCGGGTGGCAAACTGGATGAAAGCACACTGCTGCCTCTGCACCACCGTTATCGTCCGGATCTCCCCAAACTGGTAGAAGTGATTTCTGCGGGGGGAAGGGAAAAATCATGATGATACCCCTCTCCTCCTAGTCACAGGGTACAGAGCAGAGTGGGTAGAATAGGTATGCTTTCTCTTCTCCATCCCCAGTTCAAACTGATCATTGGAAATTAATAATCGATCAATTAATCATTATTGCCTCTCTGTGCAATTATGGAGCAATTAAAAGCTCTGCAGCTTCTCTTAGCAGCTAGCTAGAGGCCACAAGACTTCCTTGTAAAAAGGGTTGCACGGTATGCCCAACAGCTCAGAAGGATGATTAATCTTTAAAGAAATAAATTTTAAATCAAAGCATTTGAAATGTGCCTCTTTATCTGTTCTCCAACAAGCTGGCACTCCCCTGCACTTGCCCACCAACCAGTTCCCCACTAAGGAAAACTGAAAACCAGGTTTATTTTTGTTCCTCGCAAGAGAGATTTCCTCACTGGAAGATGAGCAGACACCAAAGTGTCAAACAAAAAGGCAAGGGAAATATAAATTCACCAACACACCTGAGATCCGATTCAGAAATAGTATCTCCAAGCCCTCCAACATACAGTGTAGTAATAGTCTTGTCTTCGGGGGGGTCTAGTCGAGGCATGGTTGATGCTCGTTTCAGCAGTTTATCAGCCACGGGATCATTAATTCCATAGTAACGATCTTTGATGTTCTGGTCAGCCAGAGGATCGTCTGGATCTGTAGGTTTCTCATGTCTAAGGTTCAGCAAGCAAAGCATTTTATAACACCAGTGACAGCTGCATGGATTAAAATGGCTGTAGCTGCCACCTTCCCTTCTCAAGCCCTCGGGTCACTTATATCCCTAACTCTGTCCACATAAACACACCAAAATGGAACAAAAAGCCCTGAGAACTTGAATTGCAGCCAGGACTGCCTCAAGTTCTGAATAAATGGCACTTCTCACAGCTCAACATTCGAGCCTCACAAAACACAAGAGCTGGATTTCAAATGGCCTCTTGTTCAAATACAAAGATCTCTGGTTGCGGGGACTGACGCCACGAAGGGGAAAAATGAACTACACAAGAGGAGAGCTGCAGTCACTGCTTTGGCAAACCCTGCAGCCAGTGGCTCACTAACGAACGTGCCACCACAGAGCTTCACTTGCTGGCGCTGGATGCAAGTTTCACCCTGAGCCCAATCACAGCGTTGAGTCTCCTGCCCACTGCAGGATCTCCTGTTCTTTGAACCCCAAGGGAGCTGTGGTGAACAGATTAACTGTTTCAGATGTATCTGTACCTGTAGGGACACTCCTCCCCTCTCTTGCACTCTCCTTTCACCCAGAAGGAGCAGATGTGAGGACGGTTGCGTTTGTAGTACGGAGTGGTTCGGGCCAGCTTCAGCAGCATGTCACTGGTAGAAGTAGCTTTTCCTAGAGCACCAACAGGTCTAGTGCCATCAGAATTGGCTATCTAAACAGCAGGTAAAACACAAACAATTATGTATATACCAGCACTGAGCACTAATGCACAGAATCAGAGCAAGCAAAAGGTTTTAAGAGAAGCTGGGTCATTGCTCCCCTTTCCTCCCCACCCACAGTCACACCGAGAGCATGACTGTAACTACCTTACCTCTCGCTCCATGTTCTGGGTATAGTACTCTTTGTTGACATCAGATTTGGGCATTTCATCCTTAAGGGAGAGTCCTGCATCTCGGACTTGGATAGGCAAACCTAGAATGAAACAATAAAACCCCAACAAACCCATATGAAGCACAAGCTGAAAGAGCAGAAGTAGTTATTTCTGCAACCTGCACTGGCCAGAGGTAACTCATCTGCTGCAGATGTGATCACCAAGACTTGTTCCTCTCCAAGACTGCCCAGTGCCAAATATACACACAAATTTAAAGACATTTCGCCAATTTTACATTTCAGAGGCCAGGTCCTTCTCTTGGTTTACATTTTTGGGTACACACCATATTCCAGGTCAAGCAGGCAGGTCTGGCAGACATTCTTCAGCTTGCTGCACGTCTGGCACACTTCGGTCTTCTTGAAGCGCATCCGCACCCCGGGGCACCAGCGGAACACGGTGAAAGGCCTGGCACAAATCTGGGACACAGAAAGGTGACCCTTGTTTCTCTCTCCACAATGACTGTTCTGCTTCTTGCATGGAAACTTAAAACTCCAAACTCGTCTAATCTCTTTAAACCATAAGTACAACTTCTCCATCTTAGTGCTAAGACACAGAGCTCGGTTTTCTGTTTGGTTCTCAGTTTTCTATTTGGTGCTTTATTTAGACAGGAGAAAGTTTTAGGGAATTATTTTTTTGTTTTGTTTTTTTTTTTTAATTTATTACAATAGCCTGAGCACAGATCTACTCAAAGGAGACAGAAATTCTCCTTCATTCCAGGAGATGTCAGTGTAGAGCTACTAGAGATGAATTACATGAGGCACCAGCACCGCAGCAACCCTGGGAGAGGTTATGAGACCTTTGGTCCAGAAAAAGACTACTGCTCTCTCTTATCTCGTGGAATGACACATCTGCTTCTGCTGCATGTACAGCCCGAGTATGTGGATACAATCTCAATCTCTACAGATTTCAACATATGCCTTCTCTCTACTTCAGAAGAGAACTGATAAAAGGGAAAAAAATTCCTTTGATTTCCCTCAGTCCAGTCAACACTATTTCTTGCTCTCTCAGAAATAAATGTGGCTTATTTCTTAAATAATTGACACAAATCACCACGTAGCCATGACTAACATATGCAGAGCTAACCCTAAACTCCAGGTATTCATGCATTTCTGAGAAAAAACAAAAAACCTGCACAAGAAAATATGAAATCATTTAAAATGCTGAAATACCTTCAAATATAGTACAACAGTATTCACAAACCCTCATTCTGATAAACATGAAGATTAGACAGACTTAGGATTTGCTCAACAATTTTACTATTTTAAGACCAACTGACTTTGTTTAACAAAGCACAGTAGACTGACCTAAAAATTTATGTAGTTACCTAAACATTTTAAGTTGTTAACCCAGATAAGCACTTTTCTGAAGCCGACAGGTTTTTAATCATTAAAACTTATTATTCCTAGATCTGCACCAATTTAGACATTCTTTTTTCAAAAGACACAAACATACCTTGCATTCTTTTCCATATTTTTCTTTGGTCTGAAATGTAATAAAAAGCAATAAAAGAAAACAAAATATCATCAGTTCAACAGGAAACATATCATTGATGTTATAACACAGTGGGTTTTTTCATAATTATGATGCATTTACACTCATCCACCCCCATGTTTCGGGCTTACACCTTGGAAGGTCAACAGGACAAAAAAGTTAATTCTAAAATACTCTCAATCCACTTCTGGTTTAGAAACATTCATTAAAACCAGAGTATTTTAAGTCCCACTGATGAAAGATAGGAATGAAAAGAAGTAATAAGAGCTATTTTTCAGGAAAGATGATGTTACATGAAATATGTCGGTGAAAACAATCTGGTTTTGATATATCACCTATATCAGCATTAAGGTTGTGTTTCATAAAAATATCCCAATCTCTCAGCAAACTTGGTGGCACAGAAATGTGAAGGAGATCGTGTCAATGTAGGTCATGCACAAGTGGGTTGAGCAGAGAAAAGCAACATAACATGGACTGACTCACCCTGCACAGAGGAAACCAAGGAAAACAAACAGGGATTTAAATTACCTTCACAAGTCAGCTTTAACTTAATTTTAGTAGTGCATGTTTGTCATATTTTAGGAATTGTGTTACTTAGTGTTTCAGCAGCTCACAGCTCTCCACGTCACAGTTCACGCGAAGCATTAAAGCTTCATGTTCTACTCTTTCCTGCACTCCAGACACTGGACTACGTCATCTTCCTCTGCTTTTTGACTGATTTGCTCTTACATCACACCCCTAATCATGACACCACATACCAACAACGGCTGGAACCAAGTCCTGTCGTGCAGAACCAGATGCTCAGGTGTGTATGTCCAACTCAGCACCCCCTCCTGCACCCAGCCCTACTTCAGTCCCCAAACCCCACAGTTTTAGGGTCCAACACAGAGGGAAGGACTGCAGGGTCCAACAGGCACGTACCATCCGAATGTAGGGGTTTTCTCCAAGACATGTCTGGCACAGGATAGGGAAGTCCTGCGTGGAGCAAGAAGAAATTCGGGAATTTGTAACAAACTCTGCCATCACAACAGCATTCAAGTTGCACTCTGAAAAATGCTACTGAGTTAAACCCATCACACTGACTGAAAGACATAAAAAGATTCAGAGACATCGGGAGAGCTGCAAGCCACCACCCAGGCTCAAATTATTCAAGAATCGGGATCTGCTGGCTGCTGTAGCTTGATGTAAAACTTAGAGCACACAAACAAAAAAAGCGTATTCTTAAGATCTGACCCTGTGAGCGCCCGGACTCGAGGAGGTGGCACCGCCCCGTTATCCCTCAGCATCGCTTGAGAGGAGAGGCCTCGGCTCCAGAGAGCACACGAGGGGCCCGGCTCAGCCCCCGCAGCCGCCGAGAGAGCTCCTCCTCCCACCGGCCGTAGGGAGCAGCACCGTCCCTTTGCCGTACGGAGGGCCCGGGAGCCGCGGCACCGCAGGTCGGGAGTCGCGGGTGCCCAGGGCCGGTCCTGGCGCCTCCTCCCCGCGCTCCCCTCGCCTGGCGGCCTCATGGCAGCGCAAGGACCCCCCGGTCCCGCTCCTCCCGCCTTTCCCTTGTGTCCCGGCTCCCCCCGCTCACCGCGTCCTCCCAGTTCTGCCGGTTGTAGGTGTTGGAGCCCAGCGATGTGGACATGGCGCCCGCCCCGCTGCCGGCCGGGCCCCGCCGGAACTGACGCCACTTCCGCCGCCGCTGCCGCCACCGCGCACCGGGCGAGACCACCGGCACCGGGGGGGACGGGCGAGACCATCGGGAAAACACGGGGGGGGGGGGAGGGGGAAACTTCGCTTTTTTGTTTTGTTTAAATAATTAAATTATAAAGAACCAGCGCAAAGAATCCGAGAGCCACGTTGTGTTTTATTGAAGGTCACTACACGACGTCAAGCATAAGGCAACAGGCGCCTTGTCGGGGAGCGGGGACAGAGGCAGGGACGCACCGAGACACCTTTCCTACCGCCTACAGCACCTACGGGGAGGGGGGAAAACAACTCGCCGAGCTCATCAGGCCGCTCAGAAGAGCGCAACTCAATGCACCTTGTGTTTGTAGTGAGAGGGGCGCAGGTCGCGTTGGCCTGCGGCAAACCCCAGGCCAGCACCAAGGGGACAATGGCCACCAGCCCCAGGCACAGCTCAAGCCCTGGGCCAGCCACCAGCTCGGCTTTTCCGTAGTCGTGTCGCAAGTGTAGCAGCTGTTTTGGCTACTGAACAGGAGAAGTTGCGGCCAGAGGTGCAGTGCTTTGTTATCTGGACAGGTGAAGCCGCAGCAGGCACTAGCACTATACATTAACTACTAACTACAAGTCTCAAACTCATGCTGTACATCTGTGTGTAACCTACACAAAGTTACAACTTGTAAACGTGATGCCTCACTGCTTTGAGACCCGCCCAGGATCGGGGCTGTGAGGTGGGAGTCCCTCTCACACACCACGGCAGGTTTCTTGCGCTAAGGGAGATGTTTTGGGTGCTGCACCACCAACTGTGGGGAGCAGGCAGCCTCATCCTGCCCTCCCACACAGAGGATCTGCAGATCCAGGCTGGCAGAGCCATGGCATGAGCATCTGGAGTGACACAGCCATGGCTGGCTGGCACTCAAGCCTTTCCCAGCAGAGCAGCACATCAAAGCCCATCAGATACGTTTAACTAAGGTCAATAACTGAAGTGGGAACACTCTGCAGGAAGAGCCATCTCACCTGCCTGCACTAGCCATGCACTTACTGGTTATGCAGTGTCCTGGATACACAGCTCTTAACCACCCATTTTAGTCTGGGCTGCAGCCAAATTACACGCCAGGTAAGCGACCTTGTAGTACAGTGTGTGTAGTTAACAAATACTTTCCACCTTTACACCTCCCTCACACCCACCCTAACCGGAAAAACACAGAGGATGAACCCAAAAAACACCTTTGTGGGTTTACAATTACCAGAACTAATCTTAACTCTCCAGGTTTCACACCCTGATAACTATGATCCCTAACAACTTATGGAGCTGAAGACTGTTGGGCAGCCTCTCCAGAGCATTCCTGCCTCAGTCAAGAGGTGCAGCAGCACCTGAATTCCCAGCTTGCAGTGCATCATGCTGCCACATCCACCTGAGGCCCAGCAGGCCAACAGCAGGCTCGGTTGCCAGTCAAATCCATGAACACTACAGTACACTATGTTTAAAGTTTAAAGGCAAACTCATCAACTCCTTTGTGAAAACAGATCTGCCACCTCAGCTAAGCAAGCTACATATGCCAGAGGGGTAGGGCTGTACACCCCAGTGCCCCGCAGTTGAGGTATCCTACAAGGAAGCAGAAAACCAAAAGAAAACATTGTGCTGCTGCCAGTAACTTGCCAGTAATGCAGCAGACACGGCCACCTCTTAAAATGTTGGTTTGGGAAGGGCATAGCTCTGGGTGAAAGAGAAGTTGTTCATTACTGAGCATGGAACATCAGGAAAAAACAGTATGGGTTCTTTTCTGTGGATAAATCCAAATTCAGCCAAAATTATCTGTTGATAGAGCCAAACTCAGCGCAAACCTGGAGAAAGCGAGACCTTTCTCTGTGCTCTGACACATGCTGCAAGTTAAACTAGCCTGTAGCAGTGAGGGGAAGAGGAGTGGTGGTTAGTGGGCACTACGACAAGGGGAAAGAGAACAAACCATCCCAAACCACGGCACCCTCAGCACCCTGCTCACGGCCGGCCGGGGCCCGTGGCACACCCACACATCACAAAGGAGCTCTGGCAGAACCTTCCAGGAGGTGCTTTCTCAGTGTGCCAGTCCATCCTGCGCCAGCCGTCAGGGAGCAAGCGTTGGGAGCCTCTATGGGAGCACGGGGCCGAGGCTGAGCTCCACGTGGTGGGTGAGCCAGATGACCTCCGAGGGGTGATCGCCTTCCTCGTTGGGCCGGATGGGAGCAGTGAGGTTTCTGAACTCGTGCTTCATCTTGAAGCTCACGGTCACTTCGCCCTCTTCTTTCTGCGGGGTGACCTTGATGAAAACTCCCACTTTATTGGCTTTTCTGAAGGCAATAACGCTGCAAGGCGGAACACAGAGGAACACTGGGTCAGCCAAGTTCTCAAACCATTGTTCAGAGAGGAACAATGCTCTGAGGGGGAACCAAAACACACTGAAGGCAGAGAGGAGAGTGAGTTACTTGAAGTGCCAAGGTTTTAAGGGAGATGATCCCCACAGGACAGACAACACTCACTCAGGGTCATCCTGGAAGTCTTGAGGCTCTGCCAGCTCATCATATTCTGCCGCAGCATCTTTGCCAGCCAGAATAAGCTCCTTGGGAGGAACAGACACCTGAAACAGAGCAGGGAGAGAAAGAGGCCTTTCAGCACTGATCACCAGCTACACTGCAAGCAGGAGAGGGCCCTCCACTTCTGAGGGCTGCTTAACTACAGTTTAACAGAAAAGTGATTCATCCTCAGCTTTCCTCTGCTCTAGGACCACTTTATTACCACCCTGCCAGTGAAATCATTAATTTCTCCCTTGGGTTCTGGATCTCAGTGAACAGACACAATTTCAAAATACTTTATGAGCTGCTGTTTGCATTGGTGACAGTCATTTAAGCTTCAAGGAAGGAAATGCAACACATTCAGCAGGGGTTGAAGGACAAATGAAAAGTGTGGCCTGTGGAAGGACAAATGGGAGTAGTAAGCCTTGGAAGAGGCTTGGGCTCACACAGCAGGAGGGTACAGTACCTTGGCAGTGCTGTTGATGTTGTCAGGGTCTCCTTCCTCACACTCCAGCAGTGTGACATGTGTGACGTTCTCCACAGGATTGGTCAGAGTCAGAAGGACTTGGCTCTCCTAAGGAGATTCAGGAATCACAATTCAAGAAGCAATTGTGCTAAAATTCATTGTTATTGTCAGCACCTCCATCTTCCATGACCAATCAACGCCTACAAAAACTGCATCATATCCTCTCAAGGGATGGACAGCAACCACCCCCCGTCTGTAAGAAAGGCATCAATGCCATGCAACACTCTTCCTTAATATAAGAAATATGCATTTTTGGAATCTAGCCAAGATCTCAACTCCACACCTTTTATTCTTCAGATATTGGCAAGTGCTTGTGAGGCCAGATGTCACACTGCACACTAATCTACTGCTGCAGAGTGACAAGTACATGTGGTGTTCCTCTGACCACTCCCCTAAACCCTGAACCCTCCAAACTGAGCGGAACCCTTAGGGAACAACATCACACCATGTCACCTTCCAAAAAGATCCCACATTCACAGCTCCCAGCTGTGTCTCACCCTAAGACATTTCTGGAAAAGCTACTGACCTTCATGTAGCGCAGGTTGGGAATAGACATGATTCTCACTTCAGGGATGTAGTTACTACAAAAATAACAAAGCAAAGGACCATAAGGGACTGTGTTGCTGTCTATAACTCACCTCCTGAAGCAGAGGGAGGTATTAGAGCTATCAGAGCTTGGCTTACATTAAAAGGAAAAATAAAGTGCCCTGCTGCTGTACAAGCCTAATCCTACAGACCCCTGCTACTGTGTGGGGCAGGCACAGCATGCAGTGGTTTTGTCAAACTGCTGAAATCATTACTAGATCAGGAAGCAAACCTTTCACAGATAAGCTAACTATATTTTAAAAGGTGATTACATCATCCTAAGAGATGACACAATCCTACAAGAGGTCAAAGCAAGAGTACTAAAAAAAAACAAATAGAAGGCATTAACTAAGCTGTTGTCCCCAGTCCCCATATCTTACTTACACAGCAACCAGCTGGATCTTGAATTTGATAGACGTTGGATTGAATTCTGGTTTGCTCAGGTTATGTTCACATTTCTAGAGACAAAGATATTTTAGTCAGCACCAGAAGACAGTCTGCAGTCACACACTGAGGAATCAGAGCCACAGGCACCATCCACCAGCACAACACATATAAAAACTACCTCAGGTGCATGGAGCCATCACTGTGCTCAGTTATTGATACTCCAAAAATGTCATATCCTGCACTACCAGTGCAATCTTGGAAACACAAGACTTGGAATTTGTCTTAAAAACACCTGGACACTGATTGCAGCAGGAAGAAGGCACAAATACCTGTAAGCCCTCAGACCTACACTCCAGAATCCAATAAAAAAACCAAATAGCTGGAACTCCTGATCTCCTCAGAGGCTACTCTTCAAATACAGGATCACTCAATTACTTATTTCTGAGAAAATATTCTGCATTTGCAAAGCATTCTGCATCTTAAATACTTATAAGAATATTGGTCTATTACTTTGGGAACTAGATAAATATCCCTGTATTACCGAGAAAACAAATCATGTAGTAAAAACCCTATAGAAAGTCAACAGCAGAACTTGGATTTAACTCTTGCCTGTCTTCACTTCCCAGCTCTCTGCTTTTATTCTCTTAAATACCCTCTTTCTGCCTCCACTCTATGGACATCTGTATTCTGCACTGCCTCTCCCTAATATTTTCTTTGCTGACTTTTGCCTTTAGTAACAATAGAATTTTTTTATTTCTGACTGAACTGGCAGCCTTCTCCAACTCCTTGGCTATGCAGAGCACTAGCACAAACCCACCTTTGTATCTTTTTGTCCCCCTTTCACAATCTTCATCACGCCAGAGATGTGACAGACTCCCTCACCTCCTAGTGCTGTTTTCAGTAATTTGGCTGAGAACATTCAACAACCAGAACCATCTGAGCAGTTTCTTTTAAAAGAGAAATACG